GCGGGAAAGGCCAGGGGCATGAAGCCATGGGAGAGACCAAGGATGCTCGTGACAGAAAAGAAGGGCGAGGGGGGAGAACCAGGACAGCGAACCATCGAGGAAGGCAAAGAGGGGTGGGATCTCTGGCAGGAGGTCAATTAGTTCCTGCTGAAGGGGAGGGGGAGGAGCGGCACACAGTGGGAACCTTGAGACCCCCAAATCAGAGGACATTGGGAGGGACCATGAACAGGGCCTGCTGATGAGGCTGGCAAGGACACCTACAGGGGTAGACCCAGGGCGCTACGGTGAGTCGGAGCGTGGGGCTGACACCCAGATCCTGGCTGAGACACCCCGCAGGGAGAGGGCCGAGTACAGGGTGCCAGGGTGTCGGGTTTCAAATACTCCCAAATGGAGCTGCTGCCCCCACCCATCCCCTCACCTCCCCTGCAATGCCCCCTCACCAAAGAAAGAGAGCAGACTACAGAAGGTGAGAATATGAGAACTACTTTAATTGGATAATTCGCTGTAACTGGGGTCAGGAGAGGACAGGAGCAGGTGGTGAGAGGAAGCCGTGGCTGAATGAGAAACGGTGGGAACCAGCTCGGCCGCGGCTCCTGGGCTCCAAAGGCACCAGCTGCCTGTCTTGTAGGAAGAGGCTGGGTTCAACCTGTCAGGCAGAGCACAGTCAGGGTTGGACCACGAGCTAGGGCTGGCCCACAGACCTGAAATGTCACCAGCTTTGGAGGAAGACGAATGGTACGTCTAACACTCACTCACTCACTTCAAAGGGCCTGGAACTTGTCAGCGAGGCACTGCATGGCTGCTGCAACAGAGAGGCATGACTGGGCACTCCACACATAGGGATAAGGAGACCCACCCCCTCCCCCGGGAGGGAACCGCCCAGCCCAGCAACCTGAAACCTCAGCAGCCCCTGTCCAGGCAGCCCTGGGACCCACTCACCCTCCACCACCTGAATTAAACGTGGGAATGTCTTCTAAACGGGAACAAAACGTGCAAGTATTTCTCAAACCCTGGGTCACACCAGAACCATTCATAACGTGTTAAAAGGGCAAACAAGCAAAGAAACAACAACAAAACCCCTACAGGCCATACCAAGTCAGGAAAGGGGAAATAAAGGAGGTGGCGCTAAACGTGCTAAGGGAAGGAGCTCTGTAGGATTCCTTGGCAAAGTGTACACGGAGCTCAGCCGATACATTTCTATCCGTGTAACCCCTGGCTCTGAGTGCACACAAGGCTCTAGGGCCAGGCCCCCCTGGTTCTCCTTCCCACGGGAACCTCGCTCTCAGGGATGCCACCGACACCTGCAGCTCATCCCTGCCTGGTGTCCCCAGCACCTGCAGGAAGATACCGTGGTCTGTCCCAGTGCCTGCCCCAGCCCGAGCCAGGGGTTCATCATACCTAGTTGCTGTTTAAGGTCGTCTCTCTCTCTCTGCAGCTCAGCACACTAGCCCAGCGGACGCGGGAGAAAGAGAAATGATCAGTGTATTCTGGCCTCCTCTCTCCTCATCCTCCCTCTCACCCGTGGCCCTCACAAACCCCACCACCCACAGCACAGTGGCCAGAGCAGCAAGGAATCCTCAG